CGTTCTGCAAGTGCTCATTAATCAGAATCGATTTAGTAAAAATATGTTTTAAAACCAATTTTCAGCCCTTGAATATAGTAAAAAAAATGGTAGTTTGTGCAACAAGAGTGGATATGATGGCCTTATCGCATGAAGACGAAATTTGAGCACGACGCCGTAGGTGGAGTGCTCAATCGTCTTAAGTGCGATATGGACAATCTACTCGAGTTGTACAGTATATTTTTTCTACGACCTACTTACAAAAAACTACAAATATTAAAAGTTATTTTAGGCTATTAAGATAAAATAATTAATTTATAAAATAAACAAGAAAAAAGAATAATTTCATCCGAGATTTGAACTGGAGTCTTCCGTGTGAAAGGGAAGAACCCTAACCACACGACCATCTATGCGCTTAGTTTTTTTTTTTTGCTTTTATACTCGTAATTAAATTGGATTATTAGTTTTATTTAAATAAACAAATTATTTATAATTATAGACGAAATAAAAATAGAAATGCTATTATTTTTCAATTCTATACAATAATAACTAATTTTAATGTATATTTATTTCAATAACTAAAAAATATTATACTGATAGTTAGTTTGACAGAATTGTTATTTAAAATTTTAAAAATAATAGTAGATAGTTGGGTGTCCAAAATATGAACTGTGATTGGTGGATTTAATTTTTTTGCAGTGTTCTCACTACCTAGAATGGATGTGAAATATATTCGTTTTGTTGAAGGCAATAGAATACTTTTGTGACGAAGTCGCTTTATTTATGTAAAAAAATTATTTTTGTATACAGGGTATTGTTTATGGTATTTTTGAACCGTTAATTATTTATTTTTCTTTTTATTGGAAATATATATTTTTTTATTTATCCCTGTGTTTCTTTTATTACCGGCTCTTGACCGTTTTCTTTCATGGTACCGTTAGGTACAAGGGAGATAGGTGCCTTATTCCTAATTTAGTGGCTACCTTTAGCAGTGACCGCCTGGAATTCTTTTTACTCCACTGAGTTTACCTTGAGTACACTCTGGTGTACTACAGGGTCACAGAGCAAACTGTGTTACCAAAAGTGGTGCTCGAGCAATCCCTTTTCTTAACTCACCATCATAGCGCCACACAGACTTCCCAATTCTTTGTAAGTGAAATCGTAAGCGTGTTACACTTTTCGTTTTGTCTGGGCATAGATAAGCTAATATCCATGTGGATGTAGAAAAAATAATTATTCATAAGCTTATATTTATTTTGAAAAACATGTATGATCAATTTATGTAACTATCTATATCATTGATCTGTCAAATCACCAGGCCCACAAGGTTGCCATATCATAACCTGTCAAAACCCACTGCCAACATTTTTGTTTGGAATGCCTAATAGTTACCCTTACCTCTACACTCCATTGCTTGAAACGCACCCTAGACAGTTGAATTTCAAATAATGATCTAAATATACCTACAATATTAACCACATTTAACTCCCAATAGCAGTGAAGTGCAACCACTTAGAGTCAAATGACCAGCCCCCTACAACAGTGACTCGCTATAATTTTCATTCTTATGTAAGTTAAGTAATACATTTATAATCAAATACATCAAATATGTTAATTTTGGCTACAAAAGTGGCCCATCGATTTTTTTTTGTCAGCTCTGCAGGTAGGTGCAGTCCTGTGAAATTCAAAATAAAATTTCATAACGATGGATTTTCCCTTTTCTGCGCACAATGAAATGTATTATGATACCAGACGTCTTTGCCAACATTTTCTGTCATCCAGTATTGCTTCACCAGTGTGGAGATTGCGGTCAGTTCGTGATATAGCTCAAACACATATACCTTTCACAGATACAAAAAAATGCCTGCAATATCACTGTACTACAGTTTCAAAATAATAGACAGAGGAAACATTTCAGGAATGTTTAGAAGAGTTGCCATATATCGAAAGAAAAATTTCTTACACTATAAAAATTATGCACAAAAAATTTCAATACATAATTGTTACTTAACACTATAATGTATAATACTTAAAATTATTTGTTTGTCTTCGAATTTTTTTGTTTTATTTAAATTTTACGGTGATCTGTATTTTATTTTTATAACGATATATATATAAAAATATATTTTTACAATCATTTATGAACAGGATAGCCTGTAGTTAACGGTCCATAAAGCAATTGTATATAGAATTTTGGCTTTAAAATATTACGATATGACTCAGCTTTATTCAATGAAATATTAAATAAAAAAGTTTCAAGGTATCAAAGTTGAAATATCTTTATTGTTTTTGGTAATAATTTCACAATTTTGTTGTTAAATTTGGAAGCATTTTTTGCGACTGAACGGTTTGTTAGTTGTTTTTTTTTATGCTACTTTCCGCATCAGCTGTCACAAAATGTCAAACGCATCATTTCTATTTTGATCTATGTAATGTCCATATTAATACTAAAATCGATATGATTGTTAAATTATTGAAATTGTTGTAAATTAGATCCTAGATATTTATCTTTAACAATTATTATTAAAATAATTTTAAAATAACTAAGTTATGTTTGCTTTTTATTCTGGTTAAACACATAACCGATTAGATCATTCAATTGACGTAAGGGCTATTAGCTCAGATGGTAGAGTATCAAACTTTATCAACTTTGCCATCTGAGAGCTGGCGAGCGACCGCGTTCAAATCCTTGCGGGGGCAGAATTTTTTTTTTTTTTTATTTTTTTTTTGTTTAGAAAATATGTAAATTGAATAAATACGATTATTGTTGATTATTTTTTAAATACGTTTTAAATATTATAATAATAACCTGGTTTTACATTTTTTGATGAATTTATTTTGTGGTCGTAGGAAAAATATTGTACATCATTTGTGTGAAAAGTGATTTTCCACACTCGTGTAATAGTCGCACTCGGCTTGTGCCTCGTGCGACAATATTTCCCACTCGTGTGAAAAATGTAACTTTCCACACTCGTAATGTAATATACTATTACATAACAATAACGTTTACATTATATATTTTTTTAGTCAAAATTACCAAAAGGTTCCGTCAAAAAAAATGATCTAATTTCATCTTCAAATTATTGTTCATGTGACATCCTATACAATAAAATTTAAAAATTACAAATAAAAGCATATTCCTTGCCAAAAATAATAACCCTGTGCCAAAATCAGCAACATTTTATACACAGATTGTGAAATGATTACTAAAAAGGCAAAATATTTATTTCAAATTGGACACCTTGAAGTTTGTAATTTTCAGTATTTTATTAAAGAAAGTTGGATCAGAGTTTTTAATATTTCGAAACTAACACTGCCATTATGCTATGGGCAACTATTTACGGACCACTAGGTGTTTATTTGATATTGAGATATCATATATGGCTACTGGCAAACCAACTCATAAAAAAAATGGTAACTCGCCACAGTAATACCTCAAAGATGGTTTGGAAATGTATCAAGAATAACAGACCTCACTCTGATTGAAAAATTTGAAAATAATTTATGTATTAAATTAAAATGCATATTTGTCATGAACCAGTAAAAAATTAAAATTGCCCACCACTGGAAACATTTCATCCTACTCCGTGGGCTCCGAAAATCTCTACAAATTTAGGAGCGATGACAGATGTCAGTATTCCACTACACATTCCTGAAATTTCCCCACTATTATTTTGAAACAGTAGCATAAGGTTCAGAAAAAAACGCATTTAAGATATATCCCAAATTTCGCTGAAAAAAGTTAATATCGGGTCAACCGGTCGACATCCCTACACCGGAGGTAGCAAAACCAGACAACAAAAATGCCCAACAGCTTTTTTGTTTTCAACGCCTGGGAGCATATATTTTATTGTGAGCAAAGATAAGCAAAAATCTGTGACCGCTCCCACTTTCCGGACATAGTACAACTTGTTCACCCCCTCCCCTTCACCCAACTACAAAGTAGATAAGAAAAATAAATGTTTTTTTAATGTTTGTTCAAAATATATTAACTCTCATAAAAATAATGTAATGGTTATTTTTAGGAATAATTATTTGGAAATTAGGATATACTGCAACAAAAAAAGTAACTATACACAAAGTGTTCTCAAAATAATGTTAATAACATTCTAAAATATATGTTTCAAGTTTTATTCCAAGAAAGTAGTAAAACTTACATTTTATTATAAAAAGATGATCAAATCCTCATAAATTATTTTAAAATATCCGAGAACACTCGTGCATAATAATCACCTTTATTTGTGATGTCTGACAAATAAAAAAGAAAAGGAATCTAAACTACTTTTTTTGGAATAAAACAAAAAAAAATAAAAAAAGAATTTAATATATTTGAAAAAAAAAATACATAAAAATTATATAACAAAAAAAATGTAACCTTCACCTCTAAATGTACTTCTATAAAAAAATATTAATACAAAAATGGACGGATTATTAGGAAATATACAATACTGATAAAATTAAGAAATACAATTGCTTATTTCATAAAACATATAGCATATAGGTCAAAAGTATTTTAGACTTTTTGCTTATAATTATCACATTAATTTTCTGTATAAATTACATCTGTTGGTACCTAACAGAATCTTAATTTTTTTGTTTGTTACCAAACATGTAATATTATTGACGATTTTAGATCATTTAATACTAAAAGGAACACCCCTTTAATTAATAATAAAAAACTTTAGTTCCATATAGTTTTAATAAAAAGTCAATTTTTGTAAAAACGAATTTTCGGATTACCATCTATAATTTAAAAAAATTATTGCTTAAAAAAAATTGACAGATATATTAATTAATATAATATAATACCCAACATACAATAATTAAGTCATTTATGTTTCTTGACAATATTAAGCATGCATGTCTCTGTTCTTTATAAATGTCTCACAAAATTAATGAGAGCATTTTAATTTCAATTTTTTTTTTATTTCAAGTATGTTTTATGAAATAAACATTAATAACAAAAACAAAAGATATTTTCAGTCCATAGTAACTCCAGTGAAAAAATTAGCAAGCCTTACCAATCCACTGTCCTCAGTTTGCGTGGAGCTTGCCGACGCCAAAGAATTATTCGAGCCACCAGAAGGACTTCGGGGCACTTGGAGATTGGCCGATGTTGATCTACGACGTTGTTTTTCTTCCAGAAGATTATATGAACAGTTGTTGGGAACTTTGACGACACAGCGCTTGTGATAATTTTGACCACAACCTTTAGAAAGAATATAAGTTTTAGAACAAAGATTTGTTGGCGAGTTAAATATATTCGCTCCGTGCGTGACAGCAGCACCAATTTTTTTTGTACTAATGGACTATTTTTGCCTATACTGACAATACAATTTTTAATAGAATTCGTAATTAGTTTTAATAAAAGTATATGGATTTGTAAAACAAGTAAAACATTAATTTATTATTATATATTATTATCGCTTAAACTAAAAAAATAAGTATATTCAATAAAAATCAATAATAAAATAAAGGCAGGCAACAGTATTTACGGGAAAATGTATAAGAAGTTGCCTAAGTCTAATAAGTTGTCTTTGAAGAATTAACCTATTCTGTCAAAATAAAAAAATATCTTTAAATAATAATGTGAAGTTAAAATGTATAAACAAAAGTACTGTTATTTATATTTTAATTTTTGTTCGAAAGAAAACATAGAAGGAATAATTAAAACTGGATTCTCATCAGTAAGTCACAAAATGCATTCCAGCCACATACAATAATCAATGGCAGAAATCTAATTCTTGATGAACATTTAAGATTAAAAGGATGTTGAAAAACATCGTAAAATGATATTTATTGTTTATTTGAAACCTTTCAAGTTTCTGATGTCTACTATTTCCAGTATTACTGTTAGTATTACAAAAATAAAGGAAATTTTTCTTCTTATTGTACACATATCCATTTATTCTTTTGATTTAATTTCCACTTTGCTACTGAAAATTTTTATAATTTTTTTTTTGCTAGTATTTTTACAATTTTCAACACAGCAACTCTGGTTGCTAATTGTATTGTTTTTACCTACTTTTTTGAAGAAAAAGTAAAATGTATACGTGTATTTGATATGTCAAAATTACAAAATATCGCTCTAAAATGCACGAATTATCCGCAGCTAGCGCTAGTATCGCTTTTGCTTAACCTATCATGACTTCGCACTGAGTGAATACCTAATTTACACGATATTTCTTATTATATTTATTCAGTACAAATTATTTTTGGGTAAATCGTTTTTGAACAAATTACTTTGGATCATTTCCTTAAAAAAATCTTAATTACGATTTTTGCTATATAAAAGACAAATGTTTATCTAAAATGACAAAATCAAGTCAATTCTGTTTAGTTAAAGAAAGTTACTCTGCTCCTCAAAGGTGATCATCTTCGTATTAGAATTTAAAAACAAAAACCGTACCACACAATATTTTATTGAAAAAATGTAGGCAACCGTTTTCAGCATAAAAGCCATCATCGGGCCCGAAAGATGATAAACAATAGAGTATAAAATATTAAAGTAGATAATGATACTGACTATCAATAAAGTAACTCATCATTACATTATATAACAGTATAAAAGATCATTTGATTCATAAAATTATTATTACAATCAGTAGAAGTACCTACGAATAGTTGAAAGAGGCGCAGGGACAGGATGAACAGTTTATCCTCCCCTTTCCTCCAATATTGCTCATGGAGGATCTTCTGTAGATCTAGCTAGCTGTAGAGTAGTGGGTTTAAACTACAGCAAACAAATTAAATGATTGGTAAAGTTATGTGGAATTAAATGATTGGTAAAGTTATGTGGAATTAAATGATTGGTAAAGTTATGTGGAATTAACTTTACTGTAAAGATATCAAATATAAGGACGGCTCATCTAATCGTATAGTATTTATAATATGAATTAAACATAGAATTTTCCACACATATTTTATTCGGAACACTTTTTCCTACGACCACTTAGGAAAGTGACATATATAGCAATATTTAGTTTTATGAGAAGCATAGAAAAACTTAAGGGAAGGTTTGAATAATAGGCGGGAATTGTTTCCTTGTTTGTAGTTGTCATATCGCGCTTCACGAGCTGCGATCACTAAATATAAAACCGTTTTTACACCCATATAATAATTAAAAAATGAATAAATATTAAAGAAATGAATAACTTTACTAATACAATCTCTTAAATATCACTTTAATACAATATATGATCAAATACAGGGATATTAGTTAAAGCTAAATTTGAATATTAAGAGCTGGTGTAAATCTGGCTTTGATAATAAATTAGGTTATGCTGCTGTTACACTAAAACATGACAGATATTTTTCTGTAGGTGAGTAAAATTTAATTAATCTTAATTATTTTAGATTTAAGTAATTATTTATAGCTGTAAAAATGTATGGATGTTCTAAGGATGTCATTAACTTATAATACCTTCATCAAATTCACTTGCAAAAACAAATATGATTAGTGATGTTTTGATTAAACCATCTTTTTCAAATACGAGGGTCATTCAATAAGTAAAGAGACAAACGGCTACAGCTCAAAACCGGTTTATTTAAATCTTTCAAAATTAAGGCTATTTTTCAACATAATCACCCCCACAGTTATGCACTTGTCCCATCTTTCTTGCAGCTTCCTAATTCCTTTGGCGAAGAATTCTTTCGATTTACCCCGAAGCCACTTTTGCGCCGCTTCCTTAACTTCCTCATTGTTAGCAAATCTTTTTCCACGTAGGACGTCTTTAAGTGGTCCAAACAGGTAAAAATCAGATGGGGCGAGGTCGGGATGAGGTAATACCTCCCAACCCAACTCTTGAAGCTTATCATGGGTCAGCTGGGCTGTATGAGGGCGGGCGTTATCGTGCTGAAGAATGACTCCTTTTGACAAGAGTACATGGCGTTTGCTCCTGATAGCTGGTCTAACTTTGTGTTCTAGCATCTCAGAGTAGTACTGGCTATTGATAGTTCGCTGATCTTCAAGGAAATCACAATAGACTGGACCCTGTGAGTCCCAAAAGATGGTCAGCATTACTTTACCGGCGGAAGGTTGAACCATGACTTTTTGCAAACTGGAGAGCTAGTGAGTTTCCACTCCATACTCTGCCTTTTGGTCTCAGGATCGTAGTAATGGATCCAGACCTCGTCGCTGGTCAATATTCTTTCAAAAAAAGGGTCTTCTTCAATCAAACTTCGTTGCTTTAAGTCTTGACTAATGGAAAGCCTTGATTCTTTATGAGCGTCAGTAAGCTGTCTGGGAACCCATCTGGCACACGTTTTTCTGTACTTTAAATTGTTCTGAATGACATTGTGAACAGTTCCAACACTTACTTGAACTTCCTCAGCTATCATTTCAACAGTAATTCTTCTGTTATCACGAATAAGTCCGTCAATCCTCGATTCCAACGAGGGACCAGAAACTATCCACTGGACGTCCACATCAGGGTTCATTATCTACACTTGTTCAGCCACTTTTAAACCGATCAACCCACTTGTAAAAATTCGCACGGTTCATACAACTTTTACCGTACTGTATCAACATTCTAGAAAAAATTTCACTTGGTTTTACACCTTCTGCGACTTAAAATGTAATGACTGAGCGCTGCTCTTCTAATGTGCAATCTTCTAGTGGACTTGTCATGGTAATTAAAAATTTTGAGGTTATGTTGACATAAAATGATGAAACAGCTGATCAGAGCATATCCCAAGGTTGCCAACTAACACCCCTAAAAAGATTGTACACATTCATTGAATGGTTTTAAAATTATAGAATTTGTCTCTTTACTTCATGAATGACCCTCGTATAACTTCAGCTAAAAAAAAGCTAGAATTTTTTAATGATAAAATTGAATGTGTCGAGGAACCTTTAATAGAGAAACCGCGTGTAAGAAATGGGAATTTTGTACAGTCAATTTACGAGCAGGTATTGTAGAACCTCATCATAGGTTTACACATTTAAAAGAACATGATAAAAAGGCATTTGATTTATGCTCAAAAAGAAATTGTTCAATTTTTGGGTACTATTCATGAATATATTTATCAAATACTACCGAAATATGGACATATAGAATGGATTGTTAAAAAACTAATTTTATATTTTTATGAACATGTTAATTTTGCATGGTTCGATTGCCAAGGGCTTGAATTTCGTTCTAATGTTTTACAGTTAGCCGGAATTTTGTAATTATAGAAAAGCATAAATCAGATGTTTTTTTAATTATTGAAAATTTTTTATTAAAAGAAATTAAATATATTTCTAAGCATTTAAAAGATAATATAAACCTATGTTAATTTTTAATTTTAAGATACCTTTATTATTTTGTATTGTTTTAGATATACCTGAAAATGGGGACCAACTAAGCTGGACTGAAATAGATGGATAGATGGGTAAAAGGATAAAAGAGTGGTTCAGTGCCAGACTTGCAATAAAATTTCAAAACAACTGGTCTTCGTATATGTTTAGGCAACTCAATAGAGCTCGAGAACATTAATGGATGAAGGATTCAGAAAAAGAAATGCTTAACTAAGTGGGTTGCATGAACATTCATTAAAATTTGGTTCCCTGGTAAACTTTGATAGAGATTTAGAATAAATAATTTAAAGTTTTTGTAAATCAGACATAAAACAATCTTTCAATTTTACATATATAATACATATAAATATAAAACTATATAACAATTAAAATTGAATTGATCATGGAAAATTGATTGGCTTAGTAAGGAAAATTAAGATAAAGAAATATAGGTATAACGTTTTTATGTTAAATTAATTGTAAATATTAATTATTATTTTGTGTTTTCTGTGAAAAATTACCTATATTTTGTGCAATAATAAGTCAATACTAAGGATTTTTAAAATAATAATTTTATCTAGATAGTCTTGCTTTTTATTTTATTATTTTTATTTCTAATTATATTAGAAATAGGATGGAAACTACCCTTATTGTAAAGGTATATATTAAAAAAAAAATAAAGTTGTCAAAATTTTAAGTAACCCAACCTCCTATGTACTTTACAGGAAACCAACCAAGCGCACACACAGTATTGTTAAATTAGTCAGTAACCTTTTATTTCTATTTAAGTAATCTTTTCTTTCTTTTATATTTAATGTTAATTGTACTGTTGCTAAATAAATACTCTACTTTCTGCATAAGCTGTCAAATATATCAGACCCATAATTTCTATCTTGATTTATGTAATGTCCATATTAATAGTAAAATCAATTTGATGATTAGATTGTTAATATTTTTATACTCTGATCCTAGATATTTATTTTTAACAAATTATTAAAATAGTTTTAAAGTAACTACATTATTTTTATGTTTTTTCCTGGTTAATTTACATATTTGTTTAAATTATTCAAGTGTAACCGTGATAGCTCAGTTAATAGTACGTTCAACTTTTTCAACTTCACATGTCACGACCATGTCGCGACGCGGGTTTACTTCTAGATAAAAGCAAATAATTTAAAAAAGTATACTATTGTCATTTTATTTATCATATTATAACCCCTACAGTTAATCTTTTCGCAATTAATTACCAAAAATCAAATCATGACTGGTGAAAGACTGTATAGGAGACTTGGCAGAGCTAAGTAGTCAAAAAAACAATGGATTCAAAAAAACAATGGATGCAAAAATAGTCTCAGGAATGGTGGAATAACTATCCAAGATTGAGGCAGGTCAAACAGTTCATCAAGGAACCATCGGCCAAGTTTACAAAAGAAATACTGGATCAAAAACGTCAAATCGTTAGGGTAACACTGTCACCTAAGAAGGCACATGAGTGTCATCAATCCAGCAGACGAAGCAACATTGTGCAGGTTCTGTTCAGAATAAGAGGAAACATCAATACATGTCCTGTGCCAGTGGGAAGGCCTGGCTAGATTGAGGTTTCTAACATTAGGTGAAGAAACGCCAGATGCATGGAACTATATGAGAGTCATTGTCGATGCTACTAAATTTAATCAAAAAAGACCAAGCTAGATGACATACTCTAAAAAATGGAGTCCCATAATAGATCTGAAAAGGTCGCGGTGGACAAGGACAAATAATGTCTAACTCCTTTCAAAACTAATCTAATCTAATTAAAGAAAAAAGTAGCTATTACCAAATTAAAATTGTAGAACATAAAAATAACACAACAGAATTATGGAAGGTATTAAAAGAACTTTTGTCAAAACCAGTAATAACAGCAATGACTTTGCAGAAGTAGAAATAAAAATAAAATAGTTAAAGATATTTCTCAGATACTGAATGCTTTAAATAGTATAGGTGACATTATTATTAGCGGTATAAATCATAATTCAAATCAACATTATAAGTTGTTTTGAAATAAAAATATTTTTTTAAGAAAATTTAAGATAATCACATGTGATGGAAAAAATGTTCTTTCGATGCCTAACAAGAGAAGTTCGGGTGATATAAATATCACTTTCTAAAAAAATGTTACAGTTATATGTCTATGCCTCTAATAAATTTGTTAAATTTATCAACAGAAACTAATGTATATCCAGATAATTTGAAAATTTCAACAATAGTACCGATTCCAAAAATTATCAACATTAAGAAAGCTTCTGATCTAAGACCAGTAAACTTATCTTCAATTGAAAAAAACCTTACAGAAAGTAATGTTTAATCAACTAATTGATTTTAGAGAAGGAAGCAATTTGATTAACAGTGTTCAATCAGGTTTTATGGCAAAACAGCTGTGAAACTCTTATTCAGTGTGTCATCGATGATTGGAAAACTAATAAAGATAAAAAATTTGTTACTGCAGCGCTGTTCTTAGCCCTACAGAGAGCGTTTGAAACTGTTAATAGAGATTTACTCATTAAGAAATCAGTAAGTTTTGGAATTGTAGAAAAAGCATTGCAATGGGTGTAAACAAAAAATGAAAATAAATAATTTAATCTCAAATGATATAGAAAATTGTTTTGATGTTCCTCAGGGAAGCGTGTTGGGCCCTTTACTCTTTTTACTTTATATTGATGATATAGAACAAATAGTCAATGAGTGCTCAATTAACTTTTTTGCAGATGATGTAGTGATTTATTTTTCTTCCAATGATCTTCAGCATTTGGTTGTTGTTATGAATGGTGTTAAATCGTGTAAATGAGTGTGTTGTGCCAATTACCTTAAAATTAATTCATCAAAAACGAAGTTTCTGTTAACAACAAATATTATGAGGATTTTAACAATAATAATTTGAAAATATATTTAGGAAACCAAGAAACTGAATTATTAAAGAAAATAAAATATTTAGGTGTTATTGTTGACCACATATTAAATTTTAAAGATCATGCCAATTATATAATTAAAACTTTTTCTTTTAAAATTAGTTATTTATATGAATGACATCACAAAAAATTCTTATTCAAAGAAGTTTCTTCTCTAATTATAATTTATAAAAGATATATCTCAAGTAGAAAAACGTCCCCTTAAAAGTACCCTCCAGATGTTCCATCTGTGCCTGAAATCCAATCTGGTCACCACACAATGTATTAAAGCTTAAGTTTATAATTTTATATTTTTACTTATCGGTTTATGAGTTATCGTGGATAAATACACACAGAGAGAAATCATCGCGACAACGGATAAAACGAAATTAGGGGACCCAAAAACATAAATATCCCTCGAAAACTCGAGGTCAAAAAACCATGATTCTTTTACTTTTCTTACTGATTACAGGAAATTAAAAATAAAATAATATAAGAATTAATAGATAGTACGGTTTATATGTAAGGTCTACACATACTAATTAGTCTAATACCTGCACCATTAAAGAACTTCAAATATGTATAAATCTTACTTATAAACGTACTATCTATTAATTCTGATATTTAATTTTTTAAACAAATTTTAATGAATCATTCTTTAATTTAATTTGAGCTAAAACTATATAACTTTATCAATAATTTAATTTGTTTATATTTCATGCCTGATGATGGCTTTTAAGCCAAACCGGTTGCCTACATTTTTTCAATAAAATATTCTCGTGCGATACGATTTTGTGTTTTCTTTATCATTCTTATATTTTTATTTGAAAATCGATTTATGATTTCTGCTATATCTATTTCTATATTTTGATGGACACACACACAATAAAGCTAAACCATTAAGGTAATCTTCTAGCATGGTAGAAGTTTTAAATATGGTAATCTTTTTAAAGCCTAATATTAGAGACTTGTTACGTAAATTGTAAATGTACAAAGAATTTTAAGACATTTGTAAATATTTGGAAAATGACTGGAATCGCAGTTTTGGAGATGACGATGATTGTAAAACCTAGTCAGAAATTTCTTGAAAATCTGTATGTACCTTCAAAGAAATATAAATTCTGCCCAGCAGTGGTTCTACTAAATCTGTGAAAATATAATTTGGACAACCTCTTGCATTAAAATCATAAATTTCTTCAATGTCAGTAATATATTTTTTAGAGATATTCAATCCTCTCTTAACTTTATTTTATACAGAAATTTGTGTACAAGATATAAAGAAAATTATGCAATTGATAGAATATAAAGATCATTAAATTAGCATATATTTAAGTGTTTTAGTGGCGTATTCAAAAGAAAAAATTAAAACAAAATTTTTCTCCTACTGATATTGAATGTGTCAATTTAGTGACATGTAACTATCATAAACATCACTTTTATCGCCTAGACATTTAAAAATATTTTCAATCATAGGCAGTAAAACATTCAAAAGATTTTTAAAGAAACGTTCTTAAAACAAACTATGTGACATGTCACATCAACTGGCTAATATTTAGAATAATATAAAATATATTTAATACATTTGAAATCTAAAAATATATGGATTGATATTAGAATAAACAATAAAATGAGTACTTACCTTCACACTTAAGTCCTTGCCTAACTAAACCAAAAAGCATTTCCCCACAAAAATCACAGAATGTGGGGGTCTTATAGGAATGTACTGATAGTGCATGAGGTTTAACTATTGTTATTGCTGGAATCAAGGGATCTGTTGTAACTAAAAACGAAAAACTCCAAATTATTTTTTCTGTTCGTTTTCATATAAAAACTTTATCTAACAGTACTGAGCAGTGTAAAGTTGTAGGAAGGTATGGAGTATCATGTTTGCTCATTGGTACATACCTCTTCCACAACTTTACCGTGACAGCTATTCCAGGCTAAACAGAAAAGTGGTATCTAGACCAATAAATTATTTTTTAATGCAGCCAGATATCCATACACATAATAAAATAAATTTTACCTTTGGCAGTAAGAACTATTTCTATAAGTGTTTCATCAATGACATCTGAAGCAGAATTTATCAACTGGAGTATATTATTCGAGTTATAAACATGACGAAATAGCAAAATGCGCTCTTCCAGTTTATTTACTCCATGATCTGGAATCTGAAACAACCAAAAACAGTTTGATTAAGTATTTAAGTATAGCTTAAACTTCCTATAATTATTAGACATAGGCACAGTTTCCACATTAGTCATTAAGAGTGTAATTGTACAGCCTACACTAAAACTTTTGTAAATATGTATTTAAGATATATACAAATACAAACATATTCTCAATAGAAATTGACTACATAAGATGTTTAGAATCAATTGTGTTAAATATTAAGTTTCAAAAACATGTATGTACATTAGTTTCCATACTTGAGATACATTTAATGCTTTATACAAAGTAGAATTTTGGCCTTAGTGTGCAACATTTTATTTAATTTTTTAAGGCAAAAGTAATTAGTATAAAAAATTTAAGTGATATTAGAACATAATGGACATATCATTTCCATTATTCGCAAATGTAAGAAGTCCACTTTTTGTCAAAATTAAGTTTTTTTGCCATTTCATCAACACATGACTAATCTACCTAATAAAAAATCTGCAGCTGAGAAACCTAATATTTCTTATTAGGTACTATAAGTAATTTTAGAAAACATAACTCATTACTGTTTTTACTGTCTACTGTAAAATTAGTAAAAATTGACTTCCAACTTATGCGAATTGGGGTAAGGATATAATAATAACCCTTTACTGTTTCTAAAATATTTAGGTAAGTTTTACATCAAGGATTTGGGATTTTACAAAATATACCTATTGAAAACCTATATGTAATAGTAGAATTGTAGGAAATACATAATAAGTAGTATTTAATTTAAACTTGAAAACAAAATATAAGAATAAAACAAACCAATAAATGTATTTATAGTGGACTGGAGTGGACATACATTAGTCTTTGGGTAAATAAAAAAAATCAAAATTACCTTAGAGTTGAGAAAGCTTACAGCGAGATTCTTTATCGTTTTAAGGTTTAGAGAGCCCTGGGGAACTGTAACTGCATCCCTAATAAGACCAAATTGAAATAAAAATGTTACTTCTGGTCCTTGGTTATCCATTTTCTAATATTCGTTATAATTACTTAAAATGGAACCAAGATAATCGGAGGTATCAACATCAATCCAAATATTTGCGTTTGGAACCGGTTAATTATTTCATCCTTTAGGAAATTCCACAACTGGGTTCAATAAAACAAGATCCACTGGTACCGTTATAACATTGGATTACATTTTTAACACATTCTTGAGAGTTTTTCAACGAAATTAACGCACTATCTACTATAATCTGTTTGAGTCAGAAGCAGTCGAAGCTTGTTTATTTTTTTCAAAATTTAAGAGGGTAAATTTAAAAAACATCGTAACTTGTTAACTACAAAACCATCGACCTGACATCTCCCTTTTTCAGTTTTTCGTTTAAAGATGACGTTTTTATGTAATTTTTGACAAGATTTTGACAACAAAACCACAGAATATTAGAGGCGAGTTCGGTCAGTCAGGGGCTGGAGCGGGACAAATTTTAGGGTGCTTTTAAATGACATTTAAGCGTGTTAAACTGTCACTAATCGGACTAAACCGAACGCTAAAAGAGTCGTTTGGAGTTAAAAGTGTTAAAGGAGTTAAAGGAACGTGGCAAACCGAACGCAATGTAGGTCTTTTCCTTTGCATCGAAAGTGTAGCGCTGAGCTACGTCAATTCTGAAAATATTGTTCCATCCATACAATTTGTATAAATGGAACGATATTTTCAGAAGTGGTGTAGCTCAGTGCTACACTTTCGATGCAAAGGAAAAGACCTATTCACTGCTGCTAAATATCTGGTGGAGACATATCCACCAGTGGACACCACATCGCTAACAGGAAGGTATAGTGGGTTTTACACGGAGGTTTTACCCCGTTTTACACCGGGCCAAACGAAAGGTTTAGTGTCCGTTGGTGTAGTTCATTCCTGCATCAGTAGGTTCTTTCGTTCGTTGTTGGTGCAGTTTCCACCAGTGTAAATTACACCAGTTACACCACCTAATTTGCCCTAGTTTACTTTCTCCTTATTCCTTATACACACATATCGAGTGTAATTCACTCCTGCTAAATAGCTGGTGGAGAAAATATCCACCAGTGGACACCACATCGCCGACAGAAAGGTATAGTGGGTTTTACACCGGGCCAAACGAAAGGTTTAGTGTACGTTGGTGTAGTTCATTCCTACACCAGTGGGACGAACGAAAAAACCTAGTGGGACGTTCGTGGTGTAATTTACACTGGTGTACACCAATGAACTGGAGTGGGGTAGAACGCTTGTCAATAGGCTTGAGATGCGACTCTATGGGCAAAGACAGGTTATTTTTCATCTCACTCGGGAGTATTTATAACAACCATTTTCTATTTCACTTTGTTATTGTCTGATCCACCAGCCTGTGGATTGAACAATAACAATGTGAAACAGAAAATGGTTATTATAAATACTCCCGAGTGAGATGAGAAATAAAAATGGCTGCGCCCATAGAGTCTCATCTTGTTCTATTGATACAATATGCACATTGGCTTTCTACCCCACTCCAGTTCATTGGTGTACACTGCACTAACGCGGCATATATCGATGGTTGTCAAAAAACTGTCAAAAGTCAAAACATAACGGCCTTGAGAGTGTTTAACCTTTCGTTTTGTTTTGTTGTGAATTATGATTTTAAACGGCTCTAAAGAATTTTTCAATTTAAAATGATTGAAGTTATCGCCAAATTACCTCACGGTCATATATTTTTGTCAGGAGAAACTTTAGAATGTAATGTTACTTTTACTCATCTCCCATCACCTACCCTTACGGTAGCACAAAGTCATGAAGACGTTTTCGAAAGTTTGGCCTGGGCTTCTGCCCAAATTCATTGCTATTGTTTCACGGACGTAAAAGTTTCTAAAGACAATAATTCGGAAAAAGTTGCGAGTTTTCCAGGAACTGCTCTAAGTGCTTCTAGCAATGAAAACGCCAAGCTTGTGAGTGCTACTAAACCCAAGATATTGTTCTGTGATTTAAGATTGTCTCCTGGTCAATCCAAAACTTGTAAGTAAAAATATACACTTATAATTTTTTATAACTTGTTACTGTAATTTTAATTTTTCTAGATACCTACATTGAACACATTCCAAATGATTCTCCTCCTTCCTATAGAGGACAACTAGTAAAATATTCTTATAAAATAACTGTAGGGACCCAAAGGGTTAACAGTCCTGTAAAGTTACTTAGAGTTCCCATAAGGGTGTTGCCACTCTGTGAGACATTGCTGAATGATGCAATGGCTCTTTGTAATGATACTACTGATGAATTAACCCCAGCAAATCCTTTTATGGAGATAAAGAAGAAAGAAAGTCCTTTGGATGTTGCTTTACAAGGTTTACAGGTACAAATAACTTTAAAATCTATTTAACTTGAGCAACTATTTTAGAATTCTTCCAGAATCTTTCTAGGTATGCACTAATAGATTATTTCCTCATTCTTATTTCCCTTTCTTTTCTCTTGCTTTCTTAAATTCATAGTTATTCATGTTCTATTATAGTTTCTACTGGTAACTTTACTTTTTCTTGTTGTAAAAACTCTTCTTGTTTTATCTCCTATATTTCTTAGAAACATATGTGTAAATAGGTTATAATTAGGGTTGCTAGACGTTCCGCTTTAGGTGTAAATGCCACGCTTTTTCACTTGCTTGCACGTGTCGTGCCAAAGTATGAAAATGTCCTGCTTTTGATCTAAATACCACAGTTTTTAATATTCAAAGTTTTGAAGAGACAAAGGTTGCCAGAAACAGAAGGTCCACAAGCTGGGGACGTTTTTTTAGAAGCTTGCCAGAAAAAGGAGGACCTGGTTTACAAAAAATACAAGCTGAGGACTTTTTTTTTTCACCAAGAAAGGACATGATTTTATAAAAATGATTGGTTTTTGAACCTGATCCCGTGTTATCACCATTGTCCCACTATTCCCTTCGTAAATCTGCCAACCCTAGTTATAATATATAAGGGGCCCTTGCCAGTGTTTTGCCCCGAGGCTTTCGGCGGCCCTGTGTGGATAAGTGCAAGACCTCACAGTTTTTACATTTTATAGTGTTCTTTTCTTAAATTGTTGGTTTGAAAATTTTTCTTTATAAATTAGTAATTCACTATTTGTTATTTTTTAACCTTCATGGAACATACATCAAAATTTTATGAAAAAGACTGATGATTTATTTTTATTAAAATTTTAGTATTAAGCATTTATTAGTCAAAAGTCATTAAAATATTACATAATGGATAGTGTGAATAAAAATTAAGCTTTGACTTTTACTTGCAAATTGGTAAACAATATTGCCTATTTTTCAATAAATAAAATTATTAGCTAAAATTAGGGAATACAAATTATTTGATAAAGCCCCAAAGAACTTTATTAATGGTTCAGAAATTTTAAGTAAAAATAATTACTTAATTTTTATTCACCCTACCCCATACCCCAATAAATAATACTAATATTTTTTACAAACTATCTCCAATTTCAAATGTTCTAGATACAAAAAATGACTTAATACATTTTTCCTGGATTTCCTGTCTTTTCCTTTTGGGTACATATAGCAGCCGCCCCCTGATAATATTTTGTTGTTATATCCCGATATAAAACTAAAATTTAAGTTTATTACTCCTATTATACCCCTACCTTCAAAATTCCAAGAACGGGTCGTCGAGCCACATTTCCCCTATCATAGGAAATGGATAGGCGATTTATTTAGTTATACCTACCAGTGAATTGAAGATTTGAACGTATTTATACTCTGTTTTTAAACTAGGAGGAGCGAATTGAAAAGACGCATTTACACAGGGAAAAGTAACTAGATTTGTTACTAAGAGCGAGTTTCGAAATATAGTCGTGTTCAAAATTTATGAAATAATTATCTTTATCGGCCTTAGTCGGCGAACGGCCAATGAGCGGTTAAGAAACGAATAAATGTCATAGAAGTAATTTTTTAATTGGTCCCAGACAACGGTCGCAAATTTCACATTATTGTGATGTGAAATGTGTGTCTAAAACGAAATGTCACTGTCAAATTAAAGTCAATATGGTTGTTGATTGATGTCAGAAATACTTTTTTCTTACTTTTGAAATCGACTTTTTGAGAATAACTATGATCTTTTTCAAATGGATATTAAATATTTAAGAAAATTGTTAATGGAATATCCAGATGTAGCCAGGTTAGTATAAAATATAAAGATCTGTTTACATTTTTAAGGATAATTTGTTATAGGTATAAAAAGTAAAAGTTAATCAGTGAATGACAAGTGGATCACACAGTAACTGGTATCTCTTCTATGAGTAATGTGGATAATATGGCTTATTTAGTGTTAACCCATGGTTAATGCGCTAGAGGGCAAATAAAGGCATTCAAAAGTTTACAGGCCTATGAGTCAGGATTTGTTTTGAAAACTGGAACCAACATTTTCATAACACTACATGTCAACATATATTTTTTAAAGTGAACTATTCATACATACCTATGTATTAATTTTAAGTATTTTTAAAATATTTTTTGTGAAAGTAATGTTAACTCATTGTGCCAAATTAAGATTATCCCTAAAGTAGTAGATGGTGTTTTAAATGTTATAACAATTTTGTAAATAGTTTTATTATATTCTAATAAATAAAATTTGCTTAAATAGTTAGTTACATTTTAATCATTTTGGTTAGAAATTCATCAATTTTTAGTTTTAAAAAATCAGTAATAAAATTATTTTTTTCTAAAATACTTCGGAATTCATCTCTTCATGGTAATCTCCCATCTTTTAACCTTCAAAAACCAATAATGCATTTTCTACAAAACCTTCAGAATCAGCATGTAAAATAATAAGGTGTCTTCCCTTTCTTGTAAGGCTTTTCAGGAATTGCTACCTTTAATAGTACTCAGTGTAGAAGGATCCATAATTGTAGATTTTCAATACAATTGCTTACTGAAGAACTATTATTTACGAAATAAAGTAAAAAACTAAGTAATGGATGAGATATCAAATTATAAAATGTCAGAACTGTCAACAATATCACTTATTAGCTGATGTTCATGCTAAAAAGTAATGTGTGAAACTGACTGTAATCTGACCAATCAGAAGGCTACAGAATTGCCAACTTAAATTCAAATCGCTCCTCTTAGTTTAAAAACAGAGTATAGTAAAATTTTGAGCCTAAAAAAGAAAGTTATTTGTGAATTTTCCAATAAAACTAAGAAAATTAGTTAGTCAAAATATTCTTCGTTTAAGAACATCTGTTACGAAGGCAGTTTCTTATAGAAAAGAAAATAGTCTTAGCACTATTAATAACGTTTTGCTTTTAAAGAAAGACATAGACAATGCAAGTTTTCACGTTTTTGGTGATCATAAAAACAGATATTTATTTTTGTCAGAAGCATACAGATGAAACCAAAAACGAAATAACCAATTTCAGATCTAAACCTGAATTTTTTACAGGACTTCTACAAATTATACATACTTTGTCAGATCACAGCAGAAATCTATTACATAATGTTGATAGTAATATTGTGGAACAATTTCATGCAACAGTCGCTAAGTTTGTAGGTGGCAAAAGAATCAATTATTCCAGAGGGCGCTCTTACCAAAGTAGATGTTTTGCAGCAGTTGTATCATATGATTCGAAATCAGGGAATTCAGAATAAAAAAAGTTATTCTGCAAAAACCAATAAAACTGATTTAGATTATAAAGAAAATTGTACCAAAAAGGATTTAGATCAAGATATTTATGAAGTAAAAAAATTTCAATTTTTAAACGAATTCCCTTCATCTGACGTTAAGAGAAATGTAATTTAGGAACAAACTATGTCACAGGCGGATAGCAGGGTTTGGCTTGAAATTCGTAGAAAAATGATAATGGCCTCACACTTTAAAGCAGTGTGTACTAGACGAATTACTACTTTATGTGAGCCTTTAGTCAAAAGGATTATTTACCAACTATCAGTCAATGCTGCTATTTCTCATGGCCAAAAGTATGAAAAAACGGCACTTTTGCAGCTTCAAGAGCAGGAAAATATAGTGATTAGAGATTGTGGAATTTTTATTGACAAAAAATATCCATATTTAGGTACGTAGAAGAGGCGATTAAATTGAAAAAAATACCCTTTTTGATTTTTAATAAAGACACCAATAATTTTGACATTAATATCCACCATCAATGCGCTGGTTCAGTGTGATGTCATTTTGGTTCCACTGACATTTACTTCTAACCAAACTTTTAACAAAAACATCAATAAATTTGACATATACGTTCTTACTGTTTTTAGTTTATTTCTAAATATTGGTTACAGGTCATAAAAATAGTTGAAAGGTATGTAAATTGGTAACTAAACGATTGTATATTTAATGCATGTTATCTACTTACTTTAGGAATATATTTATAGAAGTGAAAAAACTATATAATTTAGGTAAACACAACGAACAAAACGCACTCAAAAAATCGACTGTCACTTTAATTGTCAGTGGAACCATAATTACATCATCACTGAACCAGCGCATGGGTATTATCAAATAAAAGGCCAATTACATATTACAGGACGAAATGATGTATTTTTAGTGTATGGACAGTTCCCAATTATCCACTTAAAGTGAAATATATAATAAAAAGAGACGATTTCTGGTGTAAAAATATGGAGAAGTTAAAAAAGTTTTATATAAACTGTATGTTGCCAGAAATGGTAGATCCAAGGCATAATCGGGGAATGTCATTAAGAGAACCTGATTACATCTTGGAAGCTATTCAAAAATTAAAAATAACATTAATAGTAAGATGTTTCTACAAAGCCGCTATTTATTCTAAAAGTATTTTCTTTAATATTTTTTATTTTAATCTAGGTACTGTTAAAACGCTATAATACCTATATTTATTTGTAGGTCTTCTGTAACTAATTTATTTGTAGTACTGGGTCCAATTAAGTTACCAAAAAATAATAACCGATCATTTTAAATACATTTCGTATGCCTACTTTGTAAAAAATAATATCGAGCTGTTTAGTCAAACACCCTGCTCTTCTCAAAAACAAAATTAAATTATTTTATAATTTGTGATACATTTAAATCATATCTAAAAATGAAAAAAAAATTTGATGTACAGGGTTTATAATCAGTGGCGGCTTGTGGTAATTTAAAATGGGTGTTCACTTTTTCCAATAATTTCATTATATGTAAGTTCGGATCAAAACTTTGTACAAAAGCCAATATCGCTGTTTTTTTTATTATTTGAGTTTGTATTAAGTGTAGTTATTATTATCAACATCATACTGTTTTCAAGCACTACAACTATTAATAAATGAATATTTTAGTTAGTGTGATATTTGTTTTGTTTTTAATATGTTGAAAACCATCTATAAACATTATTAGTTAA